GGAAAAAATGGAAATAAAGTCTTTGTAAATAGGGAAGGGTGGAGGGGGTGAAGGGAGGGCTAGGAATGGGGAAAAAATAAGAACCAAGATGCACTCATGTAAAGGTACAAGTTCCCAATGAGAAATGTAATTGTGTTGTATACCTAAAATGTAGCAATAAAAGAATTTAACAAAAAAGGAAAGAAAGAAAGAAAAGTCTTTGCCTACACAAATGTCTTCAAGAGTTCTACCTACTATAAAGGAAAGCCTATCAGAATTGAAGGAGACTTCTCAACACAAACCCTCAAGTCAAGGAGAGCTTGGAGTGATGTATTTCACGCCCTAAAAGAAAACAACCTCCAACCCAGTTTGATGTACTCCACAAATCTCTCTTTCAAAATTGTTAGAGAAATAAGATACTTTGATGACAAAGAACACCTGAAGCAATTCATGACCACCAAACCAGCACTCCAAAGTGTTCTGAAGGATATTCTTAAAGAGACAACAAGGATTACAACTCCATGAGCCTGAACAAAATGAATCCACCAGGCAAGGCAAGAAATTAAACAAAAGAAAGAAGAGAATCAACAACAGGAAAATAACATGACAGGGATAAGTCAACACATATCAGTTATATCCATCAATGTTAATGGTCTCTATTCACCAATCAAAAGAAATTGACTGGAAGAATGGATCAAGAAACAATACCCAACAATATGCTACATACAAGATACACATTTAATTAAAAAAAAAGTCATAGACCAAAAGTCAAAGAATGAAAAACAATACTTCATGTGAGAGGAACCCAGAAAAAAGCAGGGGTAACTATTCTATTTGCAGACAAAGTGGATTTCAAGCCAAAATTAAGAGAGAACTATTTCATATTTCATCTCTGGTATTATGTTCTGTATCAAGGGAACAGTAGAAGGACAGGGTAAGGTCAGGGTGGTCTGTTACCTGACTAACCTTAGGGCCAAAGTAAGTAAAAGATTGGAGTATGGGGAGGATGAAGGCCAGATCGTTCATTCCTTAAGGCAATGTGTTTTGATCCTACTTGGACTTGTGACCTTGTAGGCTGTCTTCTAATTTCTAAATGTACATTCTGGGAGGTTTCGGGCATGTGGCTCCAAATGTCCCTATCCATCTCAGACATACTGGCCATCGTCTCCACCCATAATTAAAGAAGACATATAGGCAGTCATTCAGAAGTATAGATAGAATTTATTGTAATACATACATATATATATATATATATTCACAGACACACACACACACACACACATAGTTATGTCTTCAAGCAAGAAGGCAGGCAGTGCTACAAAGACATCTGCATTGAGTGTGAATTTGGATATTTTTATTTTTATGCACACACAAGTTATTTCTGCGGTTCAGAGAACTATGATGATTATCAGTATTTTATTTACATGATGCATATGTTTATCAGTATTTCTCTTAGGGGTTACTTTGAAATGTTGATGCCTTAGTTCTTTCTCATTGTGGAGACACAATATCCAACATTTACAATTTAAAGGAGGTAAGTTTTATTTTGGGTCACAGATTGTAGAGATTTCAGCGCATAGTTGGTAGGTTCCACGGGAGGATGGTGGGTATGGCAGAGAAGGGTTGCTCATGCCAAGGCAGACAGGAAGCAGAGAGTAAAAAGATTAGTAGAGAAGAGATGAACCCTTCCAGGCCATGTCCATGGTGACCCATCTCTTCCCACCAAATCCTACCTCCTAACAAGAAGCCAGCTACAAACTCATCAGTGGACTGATCCACTATTAAGAATCACACTTCCATAATCGAATTACCTCCCAAAGCCCCACCTATGAGTACATGAGGCTTTAGGGGGACATTTTAGATAACAGTTGATATCTCAAAAATCTCTTCCTTGGTCCTTTCTGGTGGTCAGTTTTCCCTACGGGGCCTTAGTCACATAATAATCTAAATCAAGTCTTAGCCCAAGGAAGGAGGTCCCTTTTCTGATATCATTAGGCATAGGGCATGCTTTGTTTTGAAAATAGACAGCCAAATGGTCAGATACTGGAATGAATGTACACAATGTACAACTTCAAAATGTCGTTGTGGGGGCGGGGGATTTAGCTCAGTGGTTCTGCCGCCTGCCTCACAAGCGCTAAGACCCGAGTTCGATGCCCGGTACCAAAAAAAAAAAAAGTCATTGTGCTTTGTGGGATTGCTTTAGGTCTGAGACCTAACAAATGTTATACATGTATTAGGCATTGAAGTCTTTATTCCTTTACTTAACTATAACTGGGAAAACATGCTATTTTGGACATCTTCCTTCCCCACTCCCCTTTTTTGTCCCTCAGGCCCACTAATGTCTAAAAACCTGCCTAATAATAGTCATACTTACCACAGTTAGAATGGAATTGTCAGATAAATCATTTCTACCTCACTGTTGTCATTTTTCTCTCTTCTTTTGTTATGGATCAGCCACATTAGCTTCCTTTCAGCACTCCCCTAACCTTTTGTTGTTGTTGTTTTTAAAAAACTTCAAAGCCATTTCTCTTGCCAATTAGAATGTTTTTCCCTAGATCTTTACCAAGTTATTCTCTTCTGTCCATTTACGTTTCAGCTCAAATAACCTCAGAAGGATCTAAAGGAGCCTTCTATCTTCTACTCCTCCATGTCAAATTTTTCTCATTCTATTTTATTGATTACTGTCTAAACTTATTTTATTTATTGTTTGTCTTCTCCAATCAGCATGTAAGTTCAAATAGGATGGAATAATTTTCCCTTTCACTGCTGTATCCTTAGCAGCTAGAACCTGGTGCTCATACTTAATAAAGATTTACTGAATGAATGAAAAGAAGACCCCAGTCTCCATAAGTTTCATGACATATCATCTAGTCATCGTCTATTTTTTTTTCCTACCAGCTGGCCACCTCCCCTCTCCTAAGCATTGCATGTTGGAATTCCTCAGCTCCGTGTCCTCTGTTTCTGTTCTTACTTTACCCTCCTTTCCTAAGCAATCCCATTTATCCATATAGTTCATTTCTCATCAATAAACTGAAACCTTAATTTATTCTTCTAGACATCTCTTCTGCCCTATAGAATTCACTTGGAGTTTATGAAGGTATTTATACATCTTGTTCTATAGTTTCTTGTCTTTCTTTCTTTTTTTTTTTTTTTTGGTACCGGGGATTGAACTCAGGACTTTGCACTTGCGAGGCAGGCGCCGGAACCACTGAGCCAAATCCCTGGGCCTATAGTTTCTTAATAATCACACAGTTGGTCAAAACTGAACCTCTAAAACTGTTCTTAATTCTTCCTGTCCTCATTTGCCCATAATCAGTCAACTAACAATCCTGTGGTACCACCTCCTGAGTATCTCCGGAATCTTTTTACCTCCAGGTCATTACATGCTACGTAAGTCCAAGCTATTCTCTCTCACATGAACTATTCCAATGGTCCATCATCAGTTCCCTCTCCTTTGGCGCTTGTTCCTTCTAACTCATTCTTCATAGACAAAACAATAATGGAAAACCACAGTATCTTCAGTGAGCTCCCCTGGTCTTAGCATAAAGGCTTTGTGTGAGTGGCCACTTCCTAGCAGATCTGGTCCCCCATCTCAACCTCCCTCTTCAGGTTCCCTCTATACCAGACCTCCAGCTCCGTAACAGTTTCACTTGGTTAATGCCTGCTTCTCCTTCAAGTATCATGTGACTTTTTCGGAGAAGTCTTTTCCTATTCTTCTTAGTCCTCATTACTTGCTTGATTACTTGATTATTCTTTAAAACATGTAGGAAGTTGGAGGGGGTTAAGATTATATCGGATGTAATCCCAAACGTCCCATAAAGGCGATCCCACAGAAGACTTCTGGATTAAAAAAAAAAATATGAAAATTGGAGTAGTGGAAAGATAACCCTGAAAACTTTTTAGGAATCCAACCTGAGGCAAGGGAGAGGAGATGGTGGCCTGTTGCAGGGTTCTGTGTAGCGCTTGTATGCTCAACAGAGGGACAAGATCTGAGACTGTTGTCATCTTTAAGTCATTTAATAGTTTTTAACCTTTGCTCGTAAGCCACAGTCTATGACAGAGAGCAGCTGTAGTCCTCTCAAACCGCAGCCGCTGACCCCAGCAGCTGGAGACCCGACCTGTCCTCTAGGCGCTGGGCTCTCGGCTGCCCTAGGCGCCGCGCTTTCCCCTCAGCGGCCCTTAGCGCCAGCTGGCAGGCGACCCGCACGCGCGCCCCCAAGCCTGTCGCGCGCGTGGCCTCGAGTCTCAGGCTTCCCCACGGAGCGCGCCGCCTGTTAGGCAGCCGAGCGACTCGGTGCCTCAACATGTGGTCTCCCGGAAAAGTGCCTGCCTGGTCAATAGAAGGGTTCTAGTTTCGCCGAGGGGGAAAAAAATTACTCGTCAGAAATAAGCATAATACAAGAATTAAGGCTGTTTTATTTTGCAATGAAGGGAATGGTGATAGTCGGGCCAGGTTAGGGCGGCCCTGTGTGAAGCTGGATCAATTCAGGCAGTGTTAAGGACAGCCGCATCCAGGCCCTCCCTCCGCCCCGCCAGGGGTCCTTCAGGTAGGAGGTCCTGGGTGACTTTGGGCGTCCGCACTACCTGGGTAGGGAGACTGCTTAGTCTTGACCCCGCAGATTTGTTTTTCTCCGTTTTGGGCTGTAGACCTTTGCTGCAAACATGCTCCGCCAGATCATCGGTCAGGCCAAGAAGCATCCTAGCGTAAGTTCCTAACTCCTTTCTCAGGATTCTTCCCTAGCCCGACTTGAGTGGGGGTGCGGCTGCCTGTGACCCTCTGACTTTTCAGAAACCCTTACTCCCCCGGTGGCGCTGGGCCCGGCCTCGCTTTCCCTTGTCCTGGTTACCCCAGGTCCTTGGGCCGTGACCTAAGCCAGGCATTGTAGGATTTTGGCTAGCAGGCGGAAGGTGAGGGACAAACGACATTGTCGAAGATAAACGACATTGTAGCAGTTGGAACAGTGTGGTGGCCGGTGCTGTCTTGCATTTGGTCGGTCCAAGAGGGATGGTTATGTAGGTTAGAGTCCCCGTTTGTCATGCTGCCTTTTGAGGATCTTACATTCACCGCAGTGCACCATCAGGCCTTCTGGACTGTAAAGGTCCTTGAGCTTGGAACCATCACTTTGGCTGGACTCCTTGATATTTTGGGAATTTGATAGCACAGAAATAAATTGCATTGCCGGGAGTGGTGGCGCACGCCTGTAATCCCAGCACTGGGGAGGCGGAGGCAGCAGGATCCCGGCGGGTTCAAGGCCAGCCTGGGCTACATAGTGAGCTCAAGGCCAGTCTGAACTACATAGTGAGACCCTGTTTCAAAAAACCATCAAATAAAAGACAGAAATGAATTGCATTTAAGTGGATTTTTTTTGACATCTTATTTTCCCCCAGTACAGCAATGTTTTGTGGACCTAAAATTTCGAAACATAGCCTTTAGTCTTTGTCTTAAACGTGAATAACGTACGAGTGCTCTAAATACGTATCAAGAATTGGTAGTAATATTTTCAGTTTGTGTCGAAAGCATATTTATAACAGATGTTTCTGTTTATTCAAATTCCTTATTTCACAAAGATTGTGGTTTTCATATACTATTTGGAGGCACACGAATAATTTATAAAGAGCTTTTTCTCTCCAGCTTGGACAAAGGGGAAGCCATAAAATTTAATGGGAATGATGTATAAATGTTAGGCAAACCCCCCCAAAACTTGATATATTTTCTTGGAAATTGAAACATTTACATATAATTTGCTCTACATTAAGAAATACACTTAAATCAGAATCATTTTAACATCTTTTGCAAATTCCATTGTTTTAGAACCGTTATAAGTAAGTTTTTTCTTTTAAAGGTAATCTTTTTTTTTTAAAGGTGCTAAAAGTTTATTTGAAAAGTGAGAGGTAGAGGGATAAGGGAAGTAGCCCTGAAGAGTGAATTTGGGCAGAACAAAGAGAGGAAAGGATAAAAGCAAAAATAAAAGTTGAGTAAGGAGTCATGATAGTGAGCTCCTCATGTCGTCTTGTCTGTTTTACACCGTCAGTTATAAGTAATCGTAACTCCATCTAAGGTACTTTTCTTTAAATTTTAAGACAAGTTTGCAAAATGGCAGTTTTGAGACTTGAAAATTAATGTGTAGAAACTACTATAGCCTTTCTTTTTTTCAAGAAATTTGAAGATGGTTATTATTTTGTATATTCTTTATTTTTTGGTGGTACTAGAGATTGAACCTAGGACCTCTACACTGCGATACATCCCCAGCTGAGGTTGGTTTTGTTGTTGGGGGGGAGGACTGGGTCTTGGTAAAGTCACTTACATTCCTAGGACTGGGCTTGAACTCATGATCCTCATTCCTTGGCCTCTCAGAGTGCTGGAATTACAGGCATGGACCATCATCCCTGGCATAATTCTTGTCTGTTTTATGTTTCACTAGAACCAACATAATTCTTGTCTATTTTGTGTTTGGTTCTAGTTGATCCCCCTTTTCGTGTTTATTGGAACAGGAGGTACTGGAGCAGCACTGTATTTAACACGTCTGGCATTATTCAATCCAGATGTCTGGTAAGTACACAGATGTTTAAAACTTTGATGGTTTGTCAAGCTAGTTTAGGAGCCACAATTTTTTTAGTGGTGGTAACATCAAGTACAATATTACAGAAAACTTGCCCCAGCCCAGATAATTGTCTTTATAAAACACTTAATCATTTTTCCTAGATTATAAAAATATTTTTGCCTGATTTCTGCAATAGGTAATTTTTTGTGCAATCAAAAAATAATAGGCATAGAAAAAATTGTTTTATTCAGTGCACACACATATTATATATATATATCTATATATATCTCTATCTATCTATCTATCTATCTATCTATCTATCTATATATCACTTCATTGTTGAACTTAGTAAAAGCTGGGTATAAATCCTGTGATGAAGATAGGGACAAGGGCAACTTCCCCAAGAGGCTGTGCTCTACTTTTTAAAAATTGATTACGTGGGGTTGTGTAGTGTAGATTGTGTTTTAATTCCATAATGAAATTACATAATGTACTTCCCCTAATAGAAAAAGACACTGATCAATTTAAAATACTAGCTTCTTGAAAAGTACAAAATGCTATTTTAGTAGCATTTTCTCATTATAACAATTACAATGTTTTATTTCTTTTAGTTGGGACAAGAAGAATAACCCAGAACCCTGGAACAAACTGGGTCCCAATGACCAATACAAGGTAAAGTACAAAATCTAAATTGCTGGAATGTACATTGTAATAAATTTGGTCGTGGTGTAGTTTTTCTTGAAATTGTACAAGTGAAATTCTGTTATTGTGAGCTTTGAAGAGCTCTTAGATTGTTCTGTGAAATTAAAATAGCATACTGTTCTAATACTTTTTCCTCTGAGTTTTACCTCCAGTCTTTAGGCTCAGGTTGTGAAATTAAGATCATGTCTCAAATATCTTAGTGTCTGGTTTTATTAAGAGACTAAAAGAAGAGATAGGACAGTTTTCATTTATCATTTTATTAGTTCTTAGTCTGCTAAATTGTTCTCAAACTTTTTGTACATCTAGCTCATGAAAACACATTGTTTAGTTCTACTCCCAAAGAGTCTGATTACATTGATGGATGTACTGACTGAGAATTTGCATTTTTTTTTTTTTTTTTTTTGATACCAGGGATTGAACTTGGCCCTTGTGCTTGTGAGGCAGGCACCACAACCACTGAGCTAAGAATTTGCATTTCTAACAAAGTTTCAGTTGATGCTGAGGCTGCTGATTCATGGACTACATTTTGAGTAATACTAAACTATTGGATATTTTGGTTGGCTGTTCTTTCTTACTGGTAGAATTAAAATATTTTAGATGACAATTAATAGGAAGAAATTAGTCAGTTGAAACTTAAATTTTACCATGAACCTCCTAAACATTTTAACATCTTTCCTCAAGAGTGGTCTTTGTAACTACTCTTTGAAAGAATGATTTCATGTACTGGAACCATTTATCGACTTCCTCAGCCTAAAAACATTTTACATACAAACTTTTGCAGCATTGCTGCATTTAGGTATAATTTGGATACCATACAATTCTTCTGTGTCTAACTCATCCTTCTACTTTACTGATCTAAATCTACTTCTTCAAAAGAGTAACTGGCAGTTTGCTTTAGGACCCTTAAAAAGAAGTACTCTGACCAAAGTATGGCCTGGACTCCTTAGGAGACACTGATTCCATGATTGAGGTTGATGCTCTTACCGTTAAGTCCCTGACTTACGAATGAATTCTGTTCTGGGAGAATGTTTGTAAGTCGGACTTGTTCTTCTGCCTGACAAAGTGAGTCTGATGCACCTTTGACACAAATATACAATGTAAAAGACTAAATGTGTCTGTGAAAGTTTGCAATGCAAATGTTTCTACGTCTGGGACTTACTATACTGACGACAGCAACTTTTAGGATGACCCTTTGCTGAATTCAAGCTTTCTGCTTAATGTAGGTATAATTTGGCTTTTAACTCAGGTCTCCCTCCATGAAGCAAATAAAAATGTACTGGCCAAGGTGAAACAAGCCATCTGTTCTGTGTGTTAACATTTTGCTTTCAAAAATGTTAAAATGTCATGATTTATTTTTCTGTCCTACAAATTTAGGTGTAGTTCATTCCTGAAAAAAAAATGTTTCTCCATGTAAGAAACATTAAAAAAGAAAACAAATACTAAAAAAGAAACATTAAAAACAAACATTAAAAAACAAAACATGAAAACAGAAAACAAATAGGTTGTGGTCCTTCTATTGAAAAGCATATGGAGCTTCTGTGTATGTGTAATTTGCAAAGGTTACTAAATGATTAAGCCAGTTACCAGTGCTATCGAATATGATAATAATGCCAATATGAGGCCGTGTGAACTGAGAATGGAATATTGTTGCAATAAAAATCTAATGGATGTGACATAGACTAAGCTGTGAGTGGCTATTGCAGTGATATTAGAGGGTGGAAAGATAAACAATAATATTATATAATAGAGGGCTGGAGATTTAGCTCAGTGGTTCCGCCACCTGCCTCGAAAGTGGAAGGTCCTGAGTTCGATCCCCAGTACCCAAAAAAAAAAAATTGTATAATAGAAATAGAAATGGAAAGGAAATACATCTAGAGAAGTGTGAACCTAGAGCAAGTGAAGCTTACTTAACTGCTTCTAAACAGGAAACGAGGAAGTAGGCTGGATTAATGTCTCAGTCATTCATTGTCATCTAAGAGAATTTTGTTTTTCTGACCCACTGACAAAATTGACATTTGCAACTTTTGAACCATTGTGTAGTTTATCTGTTCTTTCCCATCTCTCGGGAGACCAGAATTTATAGGTAAAGGCTTCTTATCAGCCTAGGATTGGAATGAAAAGAACATGGAGCAATCAATTTATGAATGGTATACAGTATAATGTGAATGAAAAAGAAAGCTTTATTGTAAACACTAAGATATGAGATGGTTATAACATGATATCATAGACTGAGTGGCTTAAGCAGGAGAAATTTGTTTCTTACAGCTCTGGAGACTGGGAAGTCCAGGATCAAGATAGCAGCCAAGTCTTGCTGAAGGTCTTTTGCCTTACTGTGTCTTCAGATTATAGAGAGAGAGGAAGAGCTTTCATGCTTCTTCCTTATAAAGGCACCAATCCTATCATGAAGGCTCCACCCTCATGACCTAATTACCTCTCAAGGGCCCACTTTCCAAATACCAGTGTCATGTTGGGGCATAGGATTTCAACATGAATTTCGGGAAGACATATAAATATTCAGTCAACAGCAGGTTATTTGTTGCCAAGTTGCAAAAGCTAACAAACAGCAAGATAGGACTATAGTATGAGGCCCAGCAGCACTTCTTCAGTAAATGTCTCAACCTAAGGCAGAGATAGTTGTTTCAGATCCTCTCAAATAGCCACCATTAAGTAGGGAGGTTGGGGTGTAGGGGTGATGGGAGTAGAAAAGTGAAACAGATTTGAAAATTGTAGTACTTCTAGAGAGAAATTTGAGCTTGAAGCAAATCAGCCTGCATCAGTGCTTTCTATTCAGTCACATGATTTTTTCTATTTTCTTTTTTATAAAATAAGAATGAGAAAAGTTCGGATGACTAAGATACACATAAAGCATCTAGGCCAATTCCTAGCCTCTGTTAGGAGAGCTGTACAAATGTTTTTTTCTTAATGTATAGCTGCAGATCTTTTTAACATGTTAGGAGATAGTATAGTTTCTTTTCTGAAGTATCAATGTCTTGCTTAATTGCTTCTTAAAATTTCCATACCAAAGTAAACTGCTTTATGGCTTAATCATCACTTTTTGTATATAAAACTCCATGTCTTTGTGTAAACATTTCAAGGATAACGTGGTGGTAATAAGATTTTTCTTTTTTAAAAGGTCAAGTAAAATAAAGAGTTTTTGAATCAGAAATAAGTTAGAGTATATTTGAAGAAATGAAGACGTTTGAAGAAATAATGGATATAGATTTATGAACTTTATTTTTTCACAGTTCTGATGATCAAACCCAGGGCCTTGCATATGCTAGGCAAGTGCCCTACCTTTAGCCCTGCATTTCTTTTTTAATAAAATATCTGAAGAACATGAAAGTTTGGTTCTTTTGGAGATAAATAATGTCTTATAGAACAACTTCTTCAGTGTTCTTTGGCACAAGATTGAACAAGTTGAAGATTATATAGACTTATATGGCCTTATGTGCATCTTGATTTTTTTTTTTCAGTAGAAATTCTGGGCCCGTTTCAAGTATGAATCATTTTTTTAAAAAAAGGTATTGGGAGTTAGAGACTGGTTTCTTTTTTAAGCAATCACAGTAAAATTTATTTTTTATTTTTTATTTTTGGTCCCGGGAATTGAACTCGGGACCTTGAGCTTGCAAGGCAGGCAGCAGAACCACGGAGCTAAATCCCCAGCCCTAAAATTTATTTTTAAAATTAATTGGATATAATGAAATATGGAAACTTAAAAAATGAAAACATGCTGTATTATTTAAAAGCTACCACCAGAAGTGATTGAATAGCAGTTGGATATTGATACAACCTGGGTTAGGAAGTTAAGGAAACCTGAGAGAGACTGAAAAGTTGTTGAGAGTAAAGCCAGTTTGTGTCTGAAAAATTACATAAGCCACAAACAAAACACTTGGTTTTATTACTACCTTCTCTTGGTTACAAGATCTTTCCCATCAAAGCTATAACACATTTTTCAATATTCCTCTACTCTGTTGGAGATTCTCCTATGTACTTACTGAAGATAAAGTAAAAACTTATCGAATTGGATATATCAGAAGTAGGAGTATATATCAGAAGGAGTTCTTATTCATCTTGAAATAGAATGTTTTTATAGATTTTTTAACTAAGAGACTAATACTATTCTGACATAGATTCAGTGTTTTTACTTTAATCATTACAGGACTGGAATTTTGGGTATAGTATTTTTTGGAATTATTTTTGTATTAAATATTCATAATAAAAATTCATTTTTATAATTGTTATTGAAAACTGAATAAAACTAATTCTAAAACTACTGTGCCATCTCTCTGTATTTGATATAATATCTAAAATACCACTTTTATTTTCCAAGTTCTACTCAGTGAATGTGGATTACAGCAAACTGAAGAAAGAAGGTCCAGACTTCTAAGTGAAATGTTTCACTATAAAGCTGCTTAGAATGAAGGTCTTTGAGAAGCCATCCGCACAATTTTCCACTTAACCAGGAAATACTCCTCCTCTAAATGCATGAAATCATGTTGATTTATTGGAGTTTATTACACAGATTAATAAATCTCTGAAACTTGATATGTGTCACTGTTTAATGCTGAAATTCTGCTCTCAACTTTTGGGGCATAGGACATAAATTATTAGAATTTAAAGAATTTTTGGAATTTCTTTGTATTTTTATAATTGACAGTAAAACTTTAAGGTGCTATAATAAAGTTTTTGTTTTGTGAATAAGCCATTGGTAACCTCACTACCGTGTACTTAACAATTGGAACTGAAAATCACACAAAAGGACATTAGGAAGAATACTTTAAAGCCTCTTTGACATTGGTAAAATGGAAACCTTGGGTTTCTCTTATTGTGTGATGTCAAATTATGTGCAGTTATTAGCAAGTTTTTACCTTGCCATTCTCTATGCTGATGAGTTTCAAGGTTGTTAGTTGATAATACTTGAATTATAATTGAAATCTGAGCCCATAACTGCCAACACTGTGTTGTAGTCAGGGTTTTGGCAAGGGAACACATTAAATACAGGACACAGAACTTACAGGATTATTTTATGATAATTACCCAAAAAGTCAAATGCAAAGGAGAGCAAGAGATTAACTGCACACCAGAGGCCCAAAGAATCCAGCTGAGAGCTTAGATCGCAGTGGTGTTCCACACAAGTCCCACTAAAGTCTTAAGAGTCCAAGGCAGTGTCATCCACGAGTCCAGCCAGTGGTCTAGAGCCCAAGGCAATGTCTCATGCTTGTCCGTATTGAGGATCTGCACCTGGAAGGCCCAAAGGCCAGGGGTGGAAGCCAGAAAATGTATACCAGTGATAATGAAGGATTTGTTCCACCAAGCTGAGGGATCCACATTGGAGCCAGGAATGTTCATGGTGAAGATCAGAGCTCCTCTGATGAAACAGCAGCCATTTCCAGAGTCAGGCCCCAAGCTCCTCGGATGAAAACAGTCTAGTTTGCATCAGGAAAACCATCCTCAGCAAGCTTCTAGAAAATCAACAGGCCAAGATCTTCCCCTCCAATCCTCTTTTTATGGCTATTGGTAATTATCCTCAGGCGGATACTGCATACCTAGACCACACTGATTTCATTCAGCTGGGCATTACAAGTTGACTATTAGTTAATCCACTACACACTGCTACTAGTGGCTCAGCAATCTTGAATATCTGGTGCTGTCTCTTGGCAGGTTTTCAAAGTCCCAGAAGTACTGCGGAAGGAGGAGCAGCCCCCACTGCCCCATGCTCCCCATGCTCCCCAGGCTGCCAGGTTATTCACTATAAAAATACCCACCCAACACAAGCAAAGTTTATTCATACTTTGAATGCCGTGAAAAGACTGAAAACTACAAAGTAAGGAAGGTGAAATATGAGGAAACAGTATTTTATGGGTTGCAGTACATTCTTAGTAAGTACTTAAAAGTGTTTAGGTGATCTCAAATTAGGTAACACATAACCATTGTGAAAGATTAATGCTAAAGTAAGCATTTTAGGGCCCTTTGCCAATAGATAGTAACTCAATCTGGTATTGATCTTTTCACAAGTAACAGAACCAAGAAACATATATAACTAAAGATCACATAAAACATTTGCATAAAATTATCATGATTGCTTTATGTTTATATTTAACTTGTATTTTTGTACAAACAAGATTGTGTAAGATATATTTAAAGTTTCAGTGATTTAACAGTCTTTCCAACTTTTCATGATTTTTATGAGCACAGACTTTCAAGAAAATACTTGAAAATAAATTACATTGCCTTTTGTCCATTAATCAGCAAATAAAACATGGCCTTAAAAAAAAAAAAAAAGTCCCGGAAGTACATTCATAGCAATTTTAAAGGGAAATATAGGACAGGTCTCTTTTGAAATGGGTGATGGACCTGGAGTTTGGTTGGAAAAATACTAAATGAGTATTTCCAAGATACTTATTGCACAGCTCTGACCTTTTGGCCAAGTGAAATGATCCAGTAAGCAAAACATTTTAGTTCTTGCTAATCAAGAGTTAACTATCTTTCCTATATCGAGTTTTCACATAGGTGTGTATTTGAAATTTATCACATGGAAACTTGAGGAATTTAATGAGTTAATTTTGATTTTAACATGTACATATGTAATTAAATATTTTGCTTATAGGGTAATAGTCACACTTAACATGTCAGGAACTGGACTAAGCATTTGAATTACATCTGTTATCTCCATATCTAAAGATACATATAATGCACAATGAAGGAAACATTAAATTAGTAGAAATCATTGTAATCAAATGGTGGATGTTGAGCCCAGGTAGTCTGGATGTAGAGTGTGTACAGTACATTTTCACTGACTTCCCTACTTTGAGCTCCCATATCACTTGTATAATTTCAATCTCAAGTTCAGGATCTCCTAGCTTTGCCAATATGGACTTTCTCAACCAATTCTTCATTCTGTCTTGTGCATTTTAGCATGCTTAGTAGTAACCCTGGCCTCTATCACTAAAGGTCAGTAATGTTTCTATCTCTTCTCAAGGTTGTGAGGAAAAAAATGGTTCCAGAAGTTACCAAATGTCCCTTAGTGGGCAAAATTTTCTGTTCCCACCTCACCCCCTACCCCCTTTTTTTGAGATGGTCTCACAATGTAGTTCAGGCCAGCCTTGAAATCATTATGTATCCCAGGCTGGCCTTGAACTCATGGAGATCCTCCTGCCTCAGCCTCCTGAGTGCTGGGATTACAGGCATGTGCCACCATGCCTGGCCCATGTTCCCACCTCTCTTGAGAACTACTCTGGACACTGGTATAAATCACTAACCTCAAAGTTTAAAATCGTGTAAAAAAACATGGTAGGCTTAGTTAATAAAGCAGTCAAAAAACATTAAGCAGCTTCAAATAAATACAACATACATCATTAGTAATAGCATTTTTTAATATCAAATTTTTTTCATTTTTTATTAGTACATATTTGTAGTACATAATGATCACACTTATGGGGACTTGATACATGTACATAACACACGGTTTTGTATTCAGTGTCTTCTTGCATTTGCATAGCATACAATATTCTTTAAGGAAACTACACTACTACTGCTATTTAAGGATCTACAATGGTAAAGGTAAATTCTAACTTAGGAATACATCAGATAATAACGTTGCTAACCCCCTTTAAAATGAATTTATTTGGAATTGTGCTTTTAATGTGTTTCATATTTAATCATAAAATAGACTGCTTTCTTTGTTTCGTTATATTAGTGAGATCCTCAGGCAAACCTGCATTTAAATACAGATGTATTGGATTACAGATGTATTGTTTATGTATTTTTGAAAAGTTAAGAGTTTTCAGAATTTACAAATGCTTCCAAGTATGTACTTTAAAAAGTAGCAAAGTAAAAATTATACTGAATTTCACTTCTTTCAAATTTATTAACCCACTGTGATCAGATTTTACCCCTATAATCTCATTAAAAATGGTTCTGTTAATGTCAACAGTGACCTCCAAGTTTCTAAATTTGAGTCAAGTTGACACAGTTCCTCTTTAAAAAAAATTTGTCCCTTGGTCTCTAGACCAGCATATTATTGATCTTCTTTCTATGGCATTTGCTTTTCTATTCAGTCTTTTCTTGGTTCCCTTTGTATCACTGTCCTCTTCATGGTGCAGTATCCCACCAAAAGGAAAAACTCTTTGGACCTTTTCACTTCCCACAACCTTCTTCCATGCTTTGGATGGCCAAAATAATTTATCAAACAGGTATCTTTCATATAAATATAAGGATATATCTCTATCTCTTCATGTCACCTCCAGTGCATCTACTATGTAATATATCTTAACTTTAACATGTCCAGTTATGAATTCTGTCCATCAATTCCCATACCCCAAAATACGCTTCAGTCATAACTTAATAGGAACACCATCCTTGCAATGATTCAGGCTAAAAACCTCATAATCTTGGTTAACTATTTTTTTTAACACTCCATATTCAATATATCTATAAATCCCCCCCCATGCCTTAATCTATTTTGTGTTGCTGTAATAACACACCACAAACTAATTTATTTATTTATTTATTTTTTTTGGTACCGGGGATCAAACTCAGGTCCTTGTGCTTGGGAGGCAAGTGGAGGAAGCACTGAGCTAAATCCCTGGCCCCCACAGACTAATACTGATAGAAATTTATCAGCTTAGGGTTCTGGAAATTTAGTGTTCTGAAAAGTCCAAGATTGAGGGCCTGGCGTCTGGTGGGGGCTTTCTGTGTTATCCATAGTGGAAGGACAGAAGACAAGAGAGGGCCAAACAAATCTGCTCTTGAGCTAATGAACACATTCCCATGGTTACTTATCTGTTCATGAATGCAGAGGCCTCATGACTTAATCATTTTTTTTTTTTTTTTTGGTACCGGGGAGCAAACTTGGGTCCTTGCCCTTGTGCAGCAGGTGGCGAAACCACTGAGCTAAATCCCCTGCCCCACTTAATCATTTCTTAAAGGTCCCACTTCTCAACACTGCTGCATTGGTATTACATTTCCAACACAAATCTTGGGGGACATCTTTAAACTCTAGCATTCTACCTTCAAATATACCTAGAATATGTATTTTTAGTCTAGTTCCCACACCTTGGTATTAAACCACCATCATCTAGCCAGGTTATTAAAATAGCATATTGGCTGGTCTCCCTGTGTGTGATATTAACGTAGCCAGCCTGATCTTTAATACATAAATCAGAATGTGACCCTCTATATTTTCCTATTTTACTCAGTATATCTAAGTACTTAAAAAATGCAGCAAGGCCTTACAAAATCTGCTCCCTTCAGCCCCCCCCACTGACTCCACTTTCTACTACTCTCAGCTTTGCTCACACATTTCCACCTAGTAGACAATCTGGATTTTCCTTACAGAAACATGTTCCTCCATCAGAGACATTTGCCCTTCCTTCTGCTTGGGATTCTCCTTCCAAAATACCGTCATGGCTCACTCTCACTTTTTTCTAGTCTTTGCTCCAGTGTCACCTTTTCATTGAGGCCTTTCTTGTCCAAATTTTCACACCCCATGTCACTTTAATCTTCCTCTTTATTTTCACTTCAGTGAAACAAATTACATAATGTTA